TAGAAGTCACTGACGATATCGACTACGATGCCGGCGAAACGTCTGGGAATGTACCACGTCCACGGTCCGATTATGCATACAATGGACTCAGGTCAAGGTGCGTTCCTCTAAGTCTTCCTACGAATATGACCAAGTTGCGAAAACAAGGTCAAACAACTTCTACTCTTATTATTGTTGGATAATTCAACTATCAGACCTTTATCACCTTATGCGACCTAAGGTGAATACAGCTCTTTTTCATTACATACTGGTAGTTCCGAAACTTACCTAAAAAATGATAATGAGCAATTAGGTTTTGCTGACTTTTTTAAGAGGTGGCCGTCTCGGATGCCAGTCTGAAGGGTAATTTTGGCCCACTAGAAATTGCTGAGAGAGCGTCCATCGTCTCAGCTGCAACGTCTCCACTAAAACGTCAATGTGACCATGGAAAGTCGTGAAAAACTGCCCTCTGTCAAGGATAAGTGAAATTGGATGGCACCGCGAGGTCTGCTCAGAGCATTGTAGGAAAATTCAACTATCAGTCCTACCTAATCTGATGCAGCTTAGGCTGATTAGATCCATTATTAAATAAATAAATAAATAAATAAATAAATATTTATTTATTCATTTAGAGTATCGAAATCTAATCTACATGAATATTACTAATGTAGTCGATTTTAACAGAAAATACGAGTTTGCTTCATCGATAATCTCACTATAAACTGTAATAGAAAGAGGCTTATCACTCCTCCTTAACCCTGCGCGGCCCAGGGTGAAGAAAGTTTTTAGTGTAGATTCAATGGGTTTGAAGGATAGGCTTTTGAGGCTTGAAAGACTCTAAGCAAAGACTAACTGACAATCGTTCATCAGCTTTTGGCGACATGAAATTTTGTCTCTACAGAAAAGGAGAATAAATACAAATAGACCACTGTACTAAATTACTCACCTCCGTCTTGCACAGTGACCGTCCTGCGCTTGTCAGCAGACTCCTGGCCAGAGTCTCGAGGCTGCCTTGCCGCGGCCCCAACCGGACCGACCTGATCTGCTTGTGGGCCAGTGTTAGTCATTTGTTGCTGTTGCTCCCGAAGCCGATCACGCTCGGCTCTAGTCCCAAAGACGCTGGCGTAGACAACATCCGTGTTTTCAATACCATGGCGTCCATTAGGCTTTCGAGTGGGAAGCCAGAAGAGTGAAAAAGAGAGGAATAAGCATAGACGAGTCAAAGCAAGTTTGCCCCGTCGTCATGACGAAGACATAAAATATGGTCTGGTGTGCCCATAAGAAGCAATATATATCGTAAGTCTGAATGCAAGCTCAAAACAGATTGTGATTTTGACGAAGGCGTCAGATTTAAATGATGCTTTCGAGTGGGACTGGGATTACTCGAAGCTGTACAGGAACAAGTTGATGCCACCCATTTATTGAACTCGTAGTATCATCAAAGACGACGAGGAAACACAAATGCCATGCCACTTCACCCAACGGGCTGGATGATTATCAGGATTAAGACAAAAGTACTCCAAAGATCACGAGTTGTATTAGCTCCAGAATGGCACCGAGTTCTGATTTAGTGTGACCACGCCTGGCTCTAGTTATTGACGTATTATTCACAAAACCGAAATTGATATTAGTTACTGACTTGACTTGTGTTGGTCGAAAGTACAGATCCTAAAGAGATTTGTGGGTAAATCTGACCGGAAGATGATGGCGGCTTCCCGTTGGTCTTAAAGCACTTTGTTTGATGCAGTTCTTGAGACACGCCCCCACGGCTCCAGAAAAGATAGGCCAAACTTTTATGTTGGTGTACAGATAGACGGATGAAAAGGAAAGACAAGTTGGGTTTCGAGGAATCTCTTGTTTCATAATTGTTGAGCTTACTTCCATTTCGAGTGAAAGTGTTGGGGGAAGAGATTCGAAGGTCGGTTCCATCAGAAGACGACGGCGGATTCCTCCTGACCAGCTGTCGATTGA